GACATATATATATATATATATATATATATATATATATGTCGTACCTAGTAGCCAGAACTCACTTGTCAGCCTACTATGCAATGCCCGATTTGCCTAATAAGCCAAGTTTTCATGAATTAATTGTTTTTCGACTACCTAACCTACCTAACCTAACCTAACCTAACTTTTTTGGCTACCTAACCTAACCTAAGCTATAAAGATAGGTTAGGTTAGGTTAGGTAGGGTTGGTTAGGTTTGGTCATATATCTACGTTAATTTTAACTCCAATAAAAATATTGACCTCATACATAATGAAATGGGTAGCTTTATCATTTCATAAAAAAAATTGAGAAAATATAATAATTCAGGAAAACTTGGCTTATTAGGCAAATCGGGCCTTGCATAGTAGGCTGAGAAGTGCGTTCTGGCTACTAGGTACGGCATATATATATATATATATATATATATATATATATATATATATATATATATATATATATATATATATATATATATATATATATATATATATAGCCGGGAGGAGCCGGTCGGCCGGGCGGACAGCACGCTGGATTTGTGATCCTGTGGTCCTGGGTTCGATCCCAGGCACCGGCGAGAAACAATGGGCAGAGTTTCTTTCACCCTATGCCCCTGTTACCTAACAGTAAAATAGGTACCTGGGTGTTAGTCAGCTGTCACGGGCTGCTTCCTGGGGGTGGAGGCCTGGTCGAGGACCGGGCCGCGGGGACACTAAAGCCCCGAAATCATCTCAAGATAACCTCTACCTACTGGGCCTCCAGCACCCACAATAGAGGAGGATCTCAGTGACACCACTCTGCTGCCTAACTGGCACATTAGGCCTTCCCTGCGGTCCCGCTTTGGCACGTAGGTGTCAGGTGATCTACCTTCTGGACATATAAATATAGTTATATGACTAGAACGTATTCGTATATTATTTATATAACTTGCTTGAAGTACGAGGGTCGACAAAGTAACAAATAAAGCTCAAACCAAATTTAAATGATCCTAGGCCTAATATAGCAAATAAATGTACTGTATTAGGCCTCAGATAGTGCCCATTAGGCCTAGGATAATTAGTTTACGGTAGGTCTTATTAGCGAACATAAATATCAAATCTTTTACGGTTTGTCCAAATTCATTCATACAAAAAGTCAACCACATTTCTGAGAGAGAAAGAGAGAGAGAGAGAGAGAGAGAGAGAGAGAGAGACAGGCCGCTGGAGGGGGTGGGTGTGGTGGCTCTCACTGGGGGGGGGGGAGAGGTGCTACAGTGCCTACCTACTGACCTAGTATCCCTCACTAATCTCCCCTCCCCCCTCAGGGCCGCTCACTACCTCCTCACACTAATTGATACAGCTGAAGATTTTGGTCGTATGAGGGATGTTCAGTCCTCCCAGCTCCATCTCTCAGGAATTGGATATTCCTGGCAAAATAGGGAACTGTGAAATTGGGAGTGTTTTGATTGTATTTTTTAAGGCAAACAACATGTACACTCTACTTCCTGGTGTATCCACACTCTCACCCACCTGCCCCCACACACCCCGATTGTGAGTCGAGAACGTAGCCCACTGTGCCACACAGAAGTCCGGCACTGCGGTGAGGACACGCCTCATAAGTGTGAGTGATGCAGCAGGATCGAATTACAAAAAAAAAAAATAGTGGGGTATTTCGTGTTAAAATTTGATGTGAAGAGAAACACGCGGTTCTGAAGTCCTTGCAGAAGATTACCGATAGTTGTAAATGCCGGAGCCCAGGAACTGTAGCTCGACTCTGCCAACTCTGATAAGTAAGAACCTTACTTGTAGCTCATCAGCTATAGCCGCCTTCCTCTAGCACCTGATTGGTCAGGTAGCCCAGCTCATCCACCGTCCTCATTATTCACTGTCATCACCTCATCCACCTCCCTCACACTCGTCACTGTCATCACCTCATCCACCTCCCTCACACTCGTCACTGTCATCACCTCATCCACCTCCCTCACACTCGTCACTGTCATCACCTCATCCACCTCCCTCACACTCGTCACTGTCATCACCTCATCCACCTCCCTCACACTCGTCACTGTCATCACCTCATCCACCTCCCTCACACTCGTCACTGTCATCACCTCATCCACCTCCCTCACACTCGTCACTGTCATAACCTCATCCACCTCCCTCACACTCGTCACTGTCATCACCTCATCCACCTCCCTCACACTCGTCACTGTCATCACCTCATCTACACTATTAGTCACTATTCTCACCTTCCCTCATGATACAATGATACAATGAGTCTCCTCATCTCTAGAGAGAGAGAGAGAGAGAGAGAGAGAGAGAGAGAGACAGAGAGACAGAGAGAGAGAGAGAGAGAGAGAGAGAGAGAGAGAGAGAGAGAGAGAGAGAGAGAGAGAGAGAGAGAGAGACAGAGACAGAGACAGAGAGAGAGAGAGAGAGAGACAGAGAGACAGACAGAGAGACAGAGAGAGAGAGAGAGAGAGAGAGAGAGAGAGAGAGAGAGAGAGAGTTACCGCTATATACACATAAACACCGACAGGTAGATGCCAAACCTGCTCAGCAAAATAACAAAATTCTGAAACGACAATTACAGTACAAAGTATATCATTAATCTAATAGGTGTATGCTGAGTTAGCAGAGCTGCCAGACTATGATAGCTGGCGGCAGGCATACGGACCAGACACTCATTCGGGTAGACAGGAAGCCCAGGTCAGGGCTGCAGAAGTAGAAAAAAATGCTCGAAATCCCCAACAGATAAATCTAAAATCTAACTAAATCCTAGTTCCGTTGTGACTGCGTCCTGATAGGCTCAACCTGATTTCCCCACCCTGAGATCCAACCCACAACAGCTGCCTATAACGCCCAGGTACCTGATTACTGCTAAGATACATGTATCAGGTGTTAGGAAACATCTGACCAAACATCTAGGCCTCGACTGGGAATCGAACCCGGGGTCATTTGACTCGGAGTGATTACCCCAAATGCCACCTCTGATCTTGTGTTTCCTGGTGAATTGTTAACAGTCCCAGGTCACTTATACGCCCCGTTAACAGTTCCAGGTCACTCACACACCTCGTTAACAGTTCCAGGTCACTCACACACCCCGTTAACAGTTCCAGGTCACTCACACACCCGCCGTTAACAGTCCCAGGTCACTCACACACCTCGTTAACAGTTCCAGGTCACTCACACATCCCGTTAACAGTCCCAGGTCACTCACACACCCCGTTAACAGTCCCAGGTCACTCACACACCCGCCGTTAACAGTCCTAGGTCACTCACACACCCACCGTTAACAGTCCCAGGTCACTCACACACCCAGTTATCAGTCCCAGGTCACTCACACACCCAGTTAACAGTCCCAGGTCACTCACACACCCCGTTAACAGTCCCAGGTCACTCACACACCTCGTTAACAGTCCCAGGTCACTCACACATCCCGTTAACAGTTCCAGGTCACTCACACACCCGCCGTTAACAGTCCCAGGTCACTCACACACCTCGTTAACAGTTCCAGGTCACACACATCCCGTTAACAGTTCCAGGTCACTCACACACCCGCCGTTAACAGTCCCAGGTCACTCACACACCCCGTTAACAGTCCCAGGTCACTCACACACCTCGTTAACAGTCCCAGGTCACTCACACACCCGCCGTTAACAGTCCCAGGTCACTCACACACGCCCCGTTAACAGTCCCAGGTCACTCACACACCCGCCGTTAACAGTCCCAGGTCACTCACACACACACCGTTAACAGTCCCAGGTCACTCACACACCCGCCGTTAACAGTCCCAGGTCACTCACACACACACCGTTAACAGTCCCAGGTCACTCACACACACCGTTAACAGTCCCAGGTCACTCACACACACACCGTTAACAGTCCCAGGTCACTCACACACACACCGTTAACAGTCCCAGGTCACTCACACACACACCGTTAACAGTCCCAGGTCACTCACACACACACCGTTAACTGTCCCAGGTCACAGGTAACAGGGAGTATTGTGAGGTCAAACCAGAGTGCCCCGGTATTGTCTCAGAAAGTGCCCCGGTAGGCAGCGGCATGAGTTACAGTTACTGTGCCAGGTAAGTCCACTACGGGCTCGCCATAGACCGTGCAACTTGGATTTTTTTTGGTCCCCAGTAGCTGAATCTTAAACAACAACAACAATAACCCGGTAAGCGGGCTCTCTGGTCCCTGGTGAGGGGTTGTGAGGGGTTGTGAGGGGCGGTGAGGGGCGGTGAGGGCCCGCCACACGTGGTAACAATAACCCAGTAACACAACACACGCCCCCTCCCCCCCTCCCTCAGCCGTTCCTGCTTCCTCCTTCCTCCTCCTGGCTCGTGCGTTGAGGTCACTCATCCTCGCACTCACTCACTCGCTCGCGCACTCACTAGTTCACTCACACATTCAGTCACTCACTCAATCACATAGACACTCACACACTCACTCACTCACACACTCATTCACTCACACACTCACTCACACACTCATTCACTCACACACTCACTCACTCAATCGCTCAGACACACACTCACTCACTCATTCACTCACTCGCTCACTCACTCACTCACTCAGACACACACTCACTCACTCACTCACTCACTCACTTACGCACACACCCACTCAGACACACACTCACTCTTTCACACACTCACTCACTCACACACATACACTCTCATTCACATACACAGTCACTCACTTACTCACATATACACTCACTCATTCCCATATACACTCACTCACATATACACTCACTCACTCACTCACATATACCCTCACTCACATATACCGTCACTCACTCGATCACATACACACTTACTCACCGCTCACATACACACTCACTCACACAGTCATACATTCACTCAGACACACACACACACACACACACACACACACACACACACACACACACACACACACACACACACACACACACACACACACACACACACACACACACACACACACACACACACACACACACACACACACCTACCAGTGTTCCAGAGACAAGTAACTGTACGTCCACACGGCACTGCTGTTCAATACTTAATACTCTGCTAGTGGCTCCCGCACACCCACAATATACCTTACCCCACATTCGACGCCCTCCAGCAACCAACCACCTGTGTGACGTAGGCTGGCACCGCCCCCCTCGCCTCACCACGTCATCAACTTTCAGCGCTGCCATTGGTCCAGACCAGCGGGTGAGGCGTGCGGTGACGTGACGTCACGGCCAGGCCCCGCCCCTTCACCTACATTCCCATCTCCTCCATACATTTGGTCTCCGCCCCCTGCTATGGCGAGCTCCGCCCCGCCGGCTAAAGTTCCGGAGTGTGTTGGAGTGCGTCCTGAGGGACGTGGTGGCGTCCCTGGTGGTGTCACTGGTGCGGCCGTCCAGCAGGGACTCCTAGTCCCTGATCATAATTGGTGTGACCTTCCCAGATGGTGTGACCTACTGGAGAGTGTCCCACCACCACCACCACCCAGCTGGTGTGACCTACTGGAGTGTGTCCCACCACCACCACCACCCAGCTGGTGTGACCTACTGGAGTGTGTCCCATCACCACCACCCAGCTGGTGTGACCTACTGGAGAGTGTCCCATCACCACCACCACCCAGCTAGTGTGACCTACTGGAGAGTGTCCCACCACCACCCAGCTGGTGTGACCTACTGGAGTGTGTCCCACCACCACCACCCAGCTGGTTTAAATTTTAAATTTTGCCCCGAGGGGCGAGTTTATTGGGCAGCGCCACTCATCTTGTGAGTGGACACACCGCCATAGCTGCATGTACAACACACCCCAATAGGAAGAAAACCCGCTGGGTTGTTCATCCTGTCACTTGTACCCAGACACAGCTGGGACTTGCTTAACTGTCTCAAGTGAACAGCTCATCAAACAAGAAGATTAACATCTATCAACCCTTGACAGCTTACGTTATCTTGCGGGTGCAAAATGGGGAAATCTTTTAAGAACAGTATCAATATTTGACCAATAGTGTTTTCCTAACTCAAACAATGTGGGGTTTATTATTCTACACATATTTCTGATGTTTCTCAGGTGTTCACATTCACGTAGATAGTGGTCAAGGCGGTGTCCATCACTCTCACCACAGATTCTGCAACTTCGCTGATCAACTGCTGTTTCCATCCCAAATCTCCATGGATATTTGTATCCAAGACGGATTCTCGCTATTACAGATTCTCTCCCTCGACCTCCTCCTCTTCGGCCATAATGATTGGGATTGCCAGCTGCAACCATGTTGTACCATCGTACAGATTCACTGGTTTGTGCTTTTATCCTCCTTTCCTCAGTTACCTTGTCACGGTGATGTTGCCTGACAATACCTCTAATTTGTAGTGCAGTCTTGGGTATGAAGTATTCAATCTGGTCTCCTTCAGCGCCTTCAGCTGCTGTGACCTACTGGAGAGTGTCCCACCACCACCACCACCCAGCTGGTGTGACCTACTGGAGAGTGTCCCACCACCACCACCACCCAGCTGGTGTGACCTACTGGAGTGTGTCCCACCACCACCACCACCCAGCTGGTGTGACCTACTGGAGTGTGTCCCACCACCACCACCACCCAGCTGGTGTGACCTACTGAAGAGTGTCCCACCACCACCACCACCCAGCTGGTGTGACCTACTGGAGTGTGTCCCACCACCACCACCCAGCTGGTGTGACCTACTGGAGAGTGTCCCACCACCACCCAGCTGGTGTGAGCTACTGGAGTGTGACCCACCACCACCACCACCCAGCTGGTGTGACCTGCTGAAGAGTGTCCAAACATCACCACCCAGCTGGTGTGACCTACTGGAGAGTGTCCCACCACCACCACCCAGCTGGTGTGACCTACTGGAGTGTGTCCCACCACACCCAGCTGGTCTGACCTACTGAAGAGTGTCCCACCACCACCACCACCCAGCTGGTGTGACCTACTGGAGTGTGTCCCACCACCACTACCCAGCTGGTGTGACCTACTGGAGTGTGTCCCACCACCACCACCACCACCACCACCCAGCTGGTGTGACCTACTGGTGAGTGTCCCACCACCACCCAGGTGGTGTGAACTTCTGGAGTGTGTCCCACCACCACCCAGCTGGTCTGACCTACAGGAGTGTGTCCCACCACCACCACCCAGCTGGTGTGACCTACTGGAGTGTGTCCCACCACCACCACCCAGCTGGTGTGACCTACTGAAGAGTGTCCCACCACCACCACCCAGCTGGTGTGACCTACTGGAGAGTGTCCCACCACCACCACCACCCAGCTGGTGTGACCTACTGGAGTGTGTCCCACCACCACCACCACCCAGCTGGTGTGACCTACTGAAGAGTGTCCCACCACCACCACCACCCAGCTGGTGTGACCTACTGGAGTGTGTCCCACCACCACCACCCAGCTGGTGTGACCTACTGGAGAGTGTCCCACCACCACCCAGCTGGTGTGAGCTACTGGAGTGTGACCCACCACCACCACCACCCAGCTGGTGTGACCTGCTGAAGAGTGTCCAAACATCACCACCCAGCTGGTGTGACCTACTGGAGAGTGTCCCACCACCACCACCCAGCTGGTGTGACCTACTGGAGTGTGTCCCACCACACCCAGCTGGTCTGACCTACTGAAGAGTGTCCCACCACCACCACCACCCAGCTGGTGTGACCTACTGGAGTGTGTCCCACCACCACTACCCAGCTGGTGTGACCTACTGGAGTGTGTCCCACCACCACCACCACCACCACCACCCAGCTGGTGTGACCTACTGGTGAGTGTCCCACCACCACCCAGGTGGTGTGAACTTCTGGAGTGTGTCCCACCACCACCCAGCTGGTCTGACCTACAGGAGTGTGTCCCACCACCACCACCCAGCTGGTGTGACCTACTGGAGTGTGTCCCACCACCACCACCCAGCTGGTGTGACCTACTGAAGTGTGTCCCACCACCACCACCACCCAGCTGGTTTGACCTACTGGAGTGTGTCCCACCACCACCACCCAGCTGGTGTGACCTACTGGAGAGTGTCCCACCACCACCACCACCACCACCCAGCTGGTCTGACCTACTGGAGTGTGTCCCACCACCACCACCACCCAGCTGGTGTGACCTACTGGAGAGTGTCCCACCACCACCACCACCCAGCTGGTGTGACCTACTGGAGAGTGTCCCACCACCACCACCACCCAGCTGGTCTGACCTACTGGAGTGTGTCCCACTACTACCACCACCCAGCTGGTTTGACCTACTGGAGAGTGTCCCACCACCACCCAGCTGGTGTGACCTACTGGAGTGTTTCCCACCACAACCCAGCTGGTGTGACCTACTGGAGAGTGTCTCACCATCACCACCCAGCTAGTGTGACCTACTGGAGAGTGTCCCACCACCACCACCCAGCTGGTGTGACCTACTGGAGAGTGTCCCATCGCCACCACCCAGCTGGTGTGACCTACTGGAAAGTGTCCCACCACCACCACCACCACCACCCAGCTGGTGTGACCTGCTGAAGAGTGTCCCACCACCACCACCCAGCTGGTGTGACCTACTGGAGAGTGTCCCACCACCACCACCCAGCTGGTGTGACCTATTGGAGTGCGTCCCACCACCACCACCACCCAGCTGGTGTGACCTACTGGAGTGTGTCCCACCACCACCACCACCCAGCTGGTGTGACCTACTGGAGAGTGTCCCACCACCACCACCCAGCTGGTGTGACCTACTGGAGTGTGTCCCACCACCACTACCACCCAGCTGGTGTGACCTACTGGAGAGTGTCCCACCACCACCACCCAGCTGGTGTGACCTCCTGGAGAGTGTCCCACCACCACCACCCAGCTGGTGTGACCTACTGGAGAGTGTCCCACCACAACCACTCAGCTGGTGTGACCTACTGGAGAGTGTCCCACCACCACCCAGCTGGTGTGACCTACTGGAGAGTGTCCCACCACCACCACCACCACCCAGCTGGTGTGACCTACTGGAGAGTGTCCCACCAACACCCAGCTGGTGTGACCTACTGGAGAGTGTCCCACCACCACCACCACCCAGCTGGTGTGACCTACTGGAGAGTGTTCCACACCACCACCCACCAGCTGGTGTGACACTACTGGAGAGTGTCCCACCACCACCACCACCCTCCACCCAGACCTACTGAAGTCCACACCAGCCACACCTCCACACCAGCCACCTCCACACCTCCACACCTCCACACCTCCAGTCCACACCAGCCACCTCCACCCTCCACACCAGCCACACCTCCACACCAGCCACACCTCCACACCACCACACCAGCCACACCAGCCACACCAGCCACCCAGCCACACCTCCACACCTCCACACCACCACACACCTCCACACCAGTCACACCTCCACACCTCAACACCAGCCACACCTCCACACCTCCACACCAGCCACACCTCCACACCAGCCACACCTCCACACCAGCCACACATCCACACCAACCACACCTCCACACCGGCCTCACCTCCACTTCATCCACACCTCCACACCAGCCACACCTCCACACCAGCCACACCTCCACACCAGCCACACCTCCACACCAGCCACACTTCCACTTCAGCCACACCTCCACACCAGCCACACCTCCACACCAGCCACACCTCCACCCAGCCACAACTCCACACCAGCCACACCTCCACACCAGCCACACCTCCACACCAGCCACACCTCCACACCAGCCACACCTCCACACCAGCCACACCTCCACACCAGCCACACCTCCACACCAGCCACACCTCCACACCAGCCACACCTCCACACCAACCATACCTCCACACCAGCCACACCTCCACACCAGCCACACCTCCACACCAGCCACACCTCCACACCAGCCACACCTCCACACCAACCATACCTCCACACCAGCCACACATCCACACCAGCCACACCTCCACACCAGCCACACCAACCATACCAGCCACACACCCCACACGAGCCCACAGGAGTGTGGGCTCCTGTGGCGGGAGAGGTGAGAGTGTGGGCTCCTGTGGGGGGAGAGGTGAGAGTGTGGCTCCTGTGGGGGGAGAGGAGAGAGTGTGGCTCCTGTGGG